TTTTCGGGGGCGAGAATAAATAAAATACATAAAATCTTGTAGCAGTGTTCAAGGATGCAATGCATTGTGCTGAACTACTAACATGTTTTACAAGTCTCTTGAATCTATGTCTCCTTCCTAAAGTTTTAAATATTTTGATGAGCATATTTCCCATTCTATCTCTATTTGTGAGCCTCTGGCAGCCACCCTTCTGCTTCCTACTTCTTGAATAGGTTGAATGGCTTGAATATTTTAGATTCTGCACATATAAGAGAGATTATATAGATTTAATATTTGAAAAATAATTGTTTATTTGAAATGCAGAGTTACATAAAGGAGTGGAGAGAGACAGAGGGAGAGAGAGAGACATTGAGAACACGAGGTATCTTCCATCGCTATCTTTTTTTCTTTCTTTTTTTTTAAGGAGTTGCTCATTTTTATTAAAAAGGAAGATTTGCAGAGAGGAGAGACAGAGAAAGATCTTTCATCCACTGGTTCACTCTCTAAATGTTCTTAATGGTGAGAGCTGATCCAAAGGCAGGAGCCAGGAACATCCCCTGGGTCGGCCACATAGGTAAGGGGTCCCAGGGCTTTGGGCTGCCTTCCCAGGCCACAAGCAGGGAGCACGATGGGAAGCGGAGCAGCCAGGACGTAAACTGGAGCTTGTATGGGCTGCCAATGCTAACAGGTGTAGGATCAGCCAGTTGGGTGATCATGCAGGTCCCCTATCTGCTGTTTCACTTCCCAAATACCTACGATGGCTGTAGCTGAATGAGGCATGAATTAGTAGCCAGGAGCTTTGTCTAGATGTCCCACATGAGTATGAGAATTCAAAGTTCTTCTTTGCTTTCCCATGTACATTAAAAGTGAGCTGGGCCCGGCGTGGTAGCTTAACGGCTAAAGTCCTTGCCTTGAAAGCACTGGCATCCCATATGGATGCTGATTCTATTTCCAGCAGCCTGCTTCCCAACCTGCTCCCTGATTATGGCCTGGGAAAGCAGTTGAGGACGGCCCAAAGCCTTGGGACCCTGCACCTGTGTGGGATACCAGGAAGAGGCTCCAGGCTCTTGGCCTTGAATTGGTGCATCTTTGGCAATTGTGGTAACTTGGGGAGTGAATCATTGGACAGAATATCTTCCTCTCTGTCTCTCCTGCTCTCTGTATATCTGACTTTGCAATAATAATAAACAAATCTTTAAAAAAGTGAGCTGGATAGGAAGTAGAGCACCTAGGACTTGAACCAGCACTGATTTTGGATGTTGAAATCATATGTAGTGTCTTAATCGAATGTGCCACAAGGTAGGACCCAGTAATTGTATTTCTGTGTCTGGATTTATTAAAATTCAATCTTTACATAGTTTATTAGGGTAAAAAGGTTCAAGGAAAGTGGGTAAGACTAGTATTTTTTCCATATTGATTCCTTCATGTTTAAAGGGGGGTATCAAGGGAGAAAGCCCACCCGATTTCCCACCCTCCCCAGGTCCTGGATGTAGGGCATGGTGCCAGGTTCTTGCTCAAGTGGTTTTGATAGTTCACCAGTTATGAATCGCTGCCAATCTTGCCACTCCAAGCATTATGAGGTCGCTGTAGAATCCACTGATTGACATATTCTGTCATAGAGTCTCTGTTTGTCCCATATTTCATTGCCAACATATAGCTGTGATGCTTGATTGACCTGTTCTGTCTTCTGTCTTTTCTTGGTTAGGGTTCTGAGTCCAGCATTTCAATTGGGGAGATCCCCAAAGAATCTTTGTCTGAGGTGTTCCCAGGCCAGATTTTTGCATGTGCTAGCAAGTACAGGGCCCGCCACAGTCCATCGACTCAATCAGCTGGTGGTTGCAATTGCTGGGTTGGTTCTGTTTTCAGCCCCGACTTCCACTGGAACCAATGGGTGTTGCAGTCCAGCCTGGTTCTGCCCAGCACATACTCGGCCCACGCATAAACAAGTGGGAGCTGCAGCCTAGTTGGAGTGACCCACAATAATCCAAACCAGGCCCGCCCCCTACCCTGGTTTGCCAGTATGTGTAGCAGTAGTCCAGTCTATCTCATACCACATTTGACTCTCGTACGTGTCAATAGGTACGAAAGCCTTGTTCCCTCTAACCAGTTCAACTATGCAGTCCACATAGATGCTGTTGGGTGTCTGTCTAGCCACCCCAGCCTGTCCTAGTTTTTGTGCCCTCCCATGGAAGTGGTAACCCAAGAGGGAGGAGCCAACTATTTCCCTCCCAGGCCACTCCCACTCCCGGATTATGCACTCTCCATAATACATAATATATATAATACATAATATTATTTAGTTTTATCCATGTTGTTGCAAATCACCAGATTTCTTTTTTTTTCCCATGGCATAGCAATACTGCATCATATCTGTATATGAATCTTTATCTACTCATCAGTTGATGGACACTCATTGTTTTCGTTTATTGCTTATTAGTAGTAATTTTGAAATAAACATGGGTGTGCAGATGTCTCTTCAACAGGTTGCTTTTATTTCCTTTGGATATATACCACAAACTTTTTTGAGAAACCTCTAACTTTTGTTTTTCGTAACGGTTGTCTTGGTTTTTGCTACTTTATTTAGTAGTTCATTCATGTTGTCTGTTGGTGACCTCTATTTGCTTTCATATCATAGCACTGCCACATTGACTCCCTCTTATTTATACTCCAGGATACAGATGTGCAAGCTGTCACAAGTCATTGAGGAAGGTTACCTCATATTCTGAAGTATTTATTTGTATTTAATTTTGACAGAAGGACAATGGAGGGGAGGGAAGGAGAGAGAGACTTTTTAAAATTTTTTAATATGTATTTTTTATTAATCACATTGCATTATGTGACACAGTTTCATAGGCTCTGGGATTCCCCCAACCCCTCCCTGTACCTTTCCCCCATGGTGGATTCCTCCACCTTGTTGCTGTATTACATTTCAAATTGAGTCAATATTCTTTCATTGCAGGTGTATACCAAGCATAGAGTTCTATCTGCTGGTTTACTTCTCAGATAATCACAACAGCAGAATTCCATCCAGGTCTCTCATGTGATTGGCAGGGTCCCAAGAGCTCAGGCCGTCTGTTGCTGTTTTTCCTGGCATGTTATTAGGGAGATGAATTGAATTGGAAGTTTAACACCTGGTACTTGAATGGGTGCCCATATAGAATGTTGGCATCATAGGCTACAGTTTAAGCCACTGTACCACAATGCCTGCCTCACATCTTATCGTTAAAGAAAGGAAAGGAAATTGCTGCAAAGTAATGTTTACTTTGCTTTGTGTGTTTATGGCCTGATAGCAGCTTGCAGAATATCACTGACCTCAGGGTAACATTGCCAATATGTCCTCTGATAAAGATTTGCATATTGATACATAGTGGACAAGAGTGTCAGTTTGGGGGTCAGCCTTGGGTCTGAATCAATCATCCAGTATTCTCTAGCAATTGAAAAAGCATGTGAAATTTCTAGTCTCTAATTAGTTGCTGAATTTACAAAACAAAAATAACAGGATTGTCAGTTTAATCTGAATTGCAGATAAACAATGGATGAATTTTTATTGTCAAGCATGTTAGAATATTACACAGACCATAATTACACTAAAATAATCTATTGTTTATTTGCAATTCAAATTTAGCTGTAATCTTCTATTTTTCTAGCAACCACACTCTTTGGGCCCTGGTTTTCTCATCTATGGATATAACAGCCATTCTCACCTCATAGGCTGCCTTTGAGGACTAAGTAAAGAACTGCATGTAAAGTTCTTAGCAAGTTCTTTGGTTCAGGGTAAAAGTCTCAATGAAGGTAGCCAAAATTCTAATAACATTTCTAATTTAAAAATCTTTGCTTTTGAACCAGATCAGTACTTTCCTGTCTCCTGCCCCCGCTTCAAATTCCCCATAGAAATTTCATTAGTGATATGAATTTAGAATTATCACATGATCTTCCTCCTTGTTCCCATTTGCTTTACAGATCCCCTAGAATTGTTAGAAATATTCTCTGCTGTCATGATATTACGTGTCCAGGTAGCTCGGATAAAGGCCTTATAGATTACCTGGGGCAAGGATACAGCCAATATCACCATGAATCTATTCGCACTACTTACTGAAAAATAAAAGAATGGGAAGCAGAAAGTATTGTGTTTGTGATCTACACATCTGAATTCTTTTGTTCTAGCTGTGCAGTCAACCAGCTGTGTGACTGGTTAACTCACTTCACCTTCAAGGGGCTCTGCTTCCTCACTGGTGAAATAATGAAGCTGGATTTTATCATTCACATTGAGTTTTGAGATCTGACAGTTTGTAGCTTTGTGGAAAGATGAGTGTCATGCCCTGCGCCTCTGGACATCTGAGCAAATTAATTCTGTCTGCTGTTAGAGTAAGAAAGCCTAGTGGAAAGGGTAAGTGGTGGCGCTGGGAGTTGAAACCACGTGGTCTTCAAAAGAAAAATATGAAGCTAAAACCAATACTTGTGGCTAATCTCAGAGGCATCTGACATTTTGATTAAATGACAATGTTTTCTTTGAGTTGCAGCATACAAAGAAGTACAAACTAGCTAAACTGTAGTACTATGCTTTTCCTGAACTGACTTAATTACAAAGAAAAGAAAACCCACTGTTCTGAAGAGTTTTCCATACCATTGTCTTGACTGTGTCATCTACAAACTCAGTCATTTTCCTTGAATCCAGCATGATGCCTCCAGGGGATTTATTCAGATTCTGCACTTGGTCTTTGTTACCACTTGGCCCTGCTTTGCAGCATTCAAATATCCTCTTGTCCCAACTCTTAACAAATCTGATTGGTGCCTGGCCCATTCCTCACACAGTTTAGCCCATCCCATGTGCTTTACCACCTGATACTGAGTCAACAATGCAGCGGCCTATTGGCTCTGTCAATATTTGCTTGCCTAGGAAGGAAAGATTTTTTAATAACTTCCACTGACGCAAAACGGAGCTGCTCCTGATTCTCCACACCACTGAACAAAGCTGATGTGCGTTCTTCCATTGCAGATGCGGCCAGAAGCTGGAGGTAAAGATGAGGGACAGACTGGAGGAACTGAAGAGCCAAGTCCACCGAGGAAGAGACCCTTTGGAGTTGGATGACATCTTCGTATTTGACAACCTGGCTTTCCAGGAGAGTGAGGTCACCTCAATTGAGAAGTTTTTCCAGGAAGTAGCTGAGCTGTCCCTGGCACTGACTGAGCTAGAAGGGCTGTCTGTGCTAATAGACAAGCAGCAGCAAGGTGTGCTGTGCTGTACTACAGAGGAGAGCGTATTCAGGAAGAAGAATGATTTGCGCATCATGAAAGCCTCTTTCACCAGCCAAGCCCGGCTCATCCAGCCCAAGCTAAACACCATCCAGCAGGAGCTGGGCACAGACTGTAAGTACTGGCGGGCTGAGCACCGGATCCGCCAGAGCCAGCTTTCTGCCCTGCTTGGCCGGTTCCGTGGCATCATCAATCACCACTATGCCTGTGAGACTGAGTTTGTGGTGCAACTAAAGGAGAAGATGATGAGGCAGGCTGAGCTAGCAGGCCTGAAGCTGCGAGAGGAGGACCTGGAGAAACTGGTAGCTAGTCCTGTAGCTCCTCAAATTGTAGGTCATGATCTAGATATTTTGGAGGCCAAGCAGGACCTGGCTCTGGTCCAAATACGTCAGCAGCAGCTTCTAGACTTGGAATGTCAGGTCAATGAGTTGCATACCATCTTCCTTCAGCTGGAGATGCTCATCTCAGAGCAGCAGGAGCTGCTGGACAGCATTGAATACAACATTTTACATGCTCAGGATTACATCGAACAGTCAAATGAGACGGTGAAGAAAGCTCTCAAATATAAACGCCAGTCACGTTTCTTAACAGTGATATCAGCTGTGGTAGGACTTTGTGCCTGTTGTACATGCTTCTCTTGTGTGACTGGAGAGCTACATTAAACACAAAATGTGCCTGTTGGTGATGTGAGCAACAGTCCCATTTGCTCTGTTTTAGTGGATAACCTTAAGTTGAGCTTTGCAGATGAGCACCAACACCTGGCCTGCCAGGTCACTGGCCTGTTGCTTCCAAGATAGCTAAGCAGGAAATCTGTTGTTCTGTTGTGACTTTGCCTAAGAATGTGTTGTTAAAAAAAAATGTTTGCAAGACTGACCTTCTGGAGTGCTGAGGACCTGAAGTTAGCTTTTCCTCCCCTCTCCTTTCTTCTTTTCTTTGTTGTAGGTATCAGAATTTTCTTTCTGCTATCCACTAGGGTCTTGTTAGTGGTTTCCTACTTAGAACTTCAGCAGTGATTAGTGAAATGGCATACCCTTCTTTGTAAGAAATTGCAAGTGGAGTGCTAAGGCATGTCACATTAAGACTTTGGTATGGTAGGGCAGGTATGTCTGATGGACTGAATTGTGATATAAAAATGACAGTTGGATGGCCTGCAGAAAGGCTGAAAAGACTGCGAAACAGTTATCAAGCACCTTGGTAAAGAGACAAGAGAAAAAAGGTTGAATACTGAGGAAAAGATCTGGAAAATGAAAGGATAAAAATAAGGATATTATCAGTAGGCATGAAGACTGTCTTGGGGTCCACTCACTGGCCTAGGTGCAGCTATCTTCATTTCATCTTTACCCTCGTTAGAAAATTTCCAGTGAGCCCAACCAGGAGGTTTTCAGTTAGTGGAGTTTAAAACCACTTGTGGGAAATGCACGTGGAGGCAGGTAGTCAAGGAAGTGCTAACAGAGGAATTTCCTGGAAGGAAATAAAAGTGATTAGGAAACAAGGACTTATAAAGCCCTGCACAGAGTAGCTCACTCTCCTCTGGGTGATCAGAAAAATCAAGAAAATCTTGGCCTCAAGTTGTAGACAAATTCAAGAGCTCTTCTACTGTTTGTTGTAGAGAAAGCATCTCCACACACTGAAATAAGTGGTTTTATTTCTCTCAGGAACCATTTTTATAGCTGTTTCTAAAAAGAAACACACATGTGTATTTGTACTCTCCTGTTTCAGAAGCTCCAGAACCTTTAACCCCAACTTCCTTATCTGAATAGCTGCTTTTTTTTTAATGGCCCGAATCAGGATGCTGGAGTCATCAGTATTTTTATTGGTTTGGTTTTTATAACTCTGCCCTACAGAGGAGCTTGTCTTGAAGGACAAGTTTCTGGTAAAATTGTAATATTTTTAGATATTTTGCTCCCACACTTAAGTGGGCAACAAACCCTGTATGACTGTGATATGTGATAATCATTTTAAAGGGCTATAAATACCATTTGAAATATGTCATACACGACTTCAATTCTTTTTGAGCTTTCATTAGTGCGTTTACTAACAGGTGCCTGTTTTTATGGAGGATGACTCATAGGATTTTGTTCACTCAGATAATGGACTGTGCTCTCAAAAATCTTTGCAATATTGCTACTGTTTTCCTAGACAATGTCCACTCTCGGAAATATAAAGTAATTGATGTTTACACTTAGGCTATTTAAAATAAAATTAGCACATTTAAAAAAATTCATTATGGGAATTTGTTCTCTGGAATTACGTGTGTGCATTTACCTACAAAACAATGGAATTCATGGGATTCATGGGATGTTAATTCCTTGGAATACTAGGTGGTGTTTTCCTTGAGGAGTTTCCCTGAAGACTGTTTTTTTTTTTTTTTCCTGTTTCCTTCTTAGGTTTCTGTAAATTTCCATCTTTTGTAGATGTTTTGGTGAAGATTATTGTTGAACATCCTGTCACTTGCCTTGACTGAGTGAATGGAAAGTGAGGAAAAGGATCTTTTTCTGCTGCCAGGAATTACAATTGCTTCTCTTTGGAAAAGGTCAATTTCTGATCATTAAAGCTGTCTTTAGAATTTTTAACGGGAAAAATGCATTATCACCTTGTGATTCATGTGTGTACATTTGTGTATGTGTGAGTGTGTAGGGATAATGAGCATATAGAAACAGACTGCAAGAGAAGGATACAGCAGTAACTGTCCTTTAAAACACATGAAATATCAGAATAATTTATATGCTGTAGTGTGCCATATAATAATTATTTATTTAACATGTAATAAATTCTGACATGTTTAATAATTATCAAAGCGCTGTAACATTTATTGTCTCCTTTATATCTCTCAATACTCCTATTTTAGGTAAGCCCAGCATTATTAGCTCCATGTTATGAATGAATTAATCAAATCACAGGAAATGGGTGGTGCCATAGATACACACACACAAATACACACACATACTCTCTCCTTCTCTAACAAATTGCCCCGAAGATCACAAATTTTAGTAAATTTAGAGTCTGACCTATTGGATGTGTTAGAGTACTTGACCTAGCATGAAAGTATCAAGGGCATGTGCCCCCTGACTTTCGCTCAAATGGCTCTTTTCATGGGTGACTTTCTCAAAAGATGCTCAGATTTCTACTCAAACTAGCAAGTGATGGCAAATATTAGCATGTGATGCTGTATCCACCTTATCAGTGAAAGGGAAGCCCAGTTTGCACTGGAAAGTCAAGCCCTGCCTTGCTTTGACTATACTGCTTAAAATTGTGAGCTGCCCATGTCTTGGTTACTAATACATGAATCATGTTAGATTGCTTATAAGTTACATGCAAGAAGTGAGATAAAACAAGCAACCAAGACCTGTGAAAATTATTACGGAAGGGGGACTTTATGAGAACACATACCAATACAATGACCTAACTTTTTAGTGCATGGTTTGTTTTTTAAATTGTATTTATTTTATTCATTTGAAAGACAGAGATACACAGAAACAAATCTTCCATCTGATAGTTTATTCTCCAAGTGCCTGCAATACCCAGGATCAGGCTAGGCTGAAGCCAGGATTTCAATGTGAGCCTCCCATTTGGTTAACAGGTACATAAGTACTTCAAGCCAGCTCTCAGAGTGCACATTAGCAGGAAGCTGGGATCAGAAGCAGATCTGGGAGGCTGATGTGATATCATAGGTTCAACTGTTGTTTGTAATGCTGGCATTCCGTAACAGAGTGCCAACTCTAGTCTTGACTACTCTGATTCTATGTCAGCTTCTTGCAAATCTGCCTTGGAAAGCCCAGAAAATGGCTCAAATACGGGCCTCTACAACCCAGGTGGGAGGCCAGGGTGGAGTTTTGGGCTTCTGGCTTCAACCTGGAACAAGTAGATGGAAAATCTTGTTTTTTCTCTCTCTCTCTTTCTGTTTTTTTCTTCCTCTTTCTGGTGCTCTATTTTTAAAATATTTATTTTAAAAGAAACAGCAGACTTGTAACTAAACCCAGGGATAAGGATGCTCTAGTGGCATTTGAGCTGTAGTGCCTCACCTTTTAAATTTTTATATAAGTGACATGCTCATTGCAGAAAAATGTTGACATTAAGAAAACAATTTATGAAAATAAAGGTCAAATCTTTCTACTTAAAGATAACCATTTTGATGTATGGCATTTTCTTTCATGTATTTAATTGCCTTTATAGATTTTATACTACATTTCACCTCATATTAGGTCATAAATATTTTCCCTTGTTAGTAGTAATTATTCACTACTTGTTAGTAGTAATTATTAGTGGTAATTAGGACTCTGCCATTTGCCTTGGATACCTCATTTGCAACCTATTGCAAGATTTCCTCAGCCCCATCTAGCCCGTAAGTGAGGTTCTTTCTTCCATGACATAGGTGGGAAGAATTCAATGATGTGGACACAAGCTTTGTCTGCCCTGTACTGTATCCAGCATGACTACTTTGCTTTATTTTCCTTATATTTAGAGGAAAAAGCTCTGCTTTCTTATTATTCCTGCTAAGGTTTATTAATTTTACTTGAAGGTCAGAATTACAGAGGGCTAAACAAGAGCGAGAGAGGCAGAGACAGAGAGAAAGAAATCTCTGCACTTGATTCACTCTCCAAATCCCTGCAACAGCCAGGGCTGGGCTGGTTCAAAGCTGGGATCCAGGAACTTCTTTCAGGTCTCCTGCATGGATGCAGGGTCCCAAAAACTTGGGCCATTCTCAACTGCTCTCCCAGGCCATTAGTAGGGATCTGGATCAGAAGTGGAGCAACTGGAACATGATCCCATATGGGAAGCTGGTGCTACATGTGGAGTATTCACTGGATATGCCATCATGCTGGCCCAATTCTTCTCATTATTTGTAAAGATTTCTTTATTTTTTCTGAAATGAGAACTATATTGGGGGCTGTGCATCCACAGATACAATCCACTAATTGGTTGCTTCATAGATTTGTTTATTTTTTAACTTTGAAGAGAACAATGCAGTCAGTATATTAAGCCATTTTCCTGAATGTCTTAGAAACTTCACATTTATGTGGTGGATTTGTTGGTAGTATATTATTTGCTTTCTGAAGTGAATGCTTAATAAACATCTGTTATGTGTTCAAGTCTTTATTGGATGCTATGCGTCTAAGACAGAGGCAGCTTTCCCTCCAGGAGCTCTTTTAAAAAAATGACACAGGGACAAAAAATGAATTGAAAATTAAACTGTGAAGCAACTCAGAATAATAATATTAGTATCATAAGATACTTTATTATAGGAAGATATTCAGTTGAAAAGAATTGAATCTATTATTCATAATTTATGTGAGTTTATGAACCACTAATTTGTTTCCAGCGAGATTCTGAAGCCTGCAGTCTAAAGGTTGAGTTGGGTAGTGAAGAAAAGAGCTTCACGGGAGAGGGAATTTTCCTCAGTCCATCTTCAGTTTTAGCTGGTTTATTAGTTTTGTATTTGCTCCATGTTCTTCAGGTTAAGAAACACCAATATACCCTTAGCATCTATTAACAACCTTGAGGAGTAAATAGAAGAAATGCTATCATTTGCATTTTAAATACCTTTGATCTTCCCTATTTTTTCCTCCTTATTGCTATTCACAACTTTTTGTTTGGGATTACGTGTTGCCTGTGCTTCTGGGTTACTATGATCATTTCAGGAAACAGATTTAGGAAAACAAAT